ACAGAAAACGTGTTGAAGATGCCACAGTTATTCGGAGTTTGACAACGCTTTAACCGGTAACACCTAATATGAATCGTACCCACCAAGTGAAATCAAAAGACAGGAGCTAGAAGGTTCGAAGATATATTTGATAGGCTACCAATATATCGAGGATCGTCTGATCTAATCTGGCTAGCGATTGCAGGGGTTGTTGAACACGGCGTTCCTACTCGTGATCTGGTGCGGATGCATGACCGAGCGCCTTTAGCTAGGTGAGTCCATTAAAACTAATATGGTCAGCATCCAATAACGAAAACTTACAGAGCTATTTATTTTGGGGATTTATTTATCGCTACAGTGTGATAATCAGGGATATTCAAATTATAGTGAGAATCAAGAATCCCAGAAATAACGCAGTTTAACCAAGGAGAACTAAGTGAGCACGAACAAACGCATTGCATTTAGAATTCGAAATCAGGCAGTCATCAAGTACAAAGGAATCATTAGTTCACACAAATACTACATCCGCCACAGCTTAAAATGGAATCTAAGTTTCTGTAATCGATTGTACATCTCCTTAAATTCATTCTGTGTCTGTCTGACTGTGAATTTGATGTAGACTCTGTACGATCCAGAATATACTCGTTAGTATTAGAATTAACAAATGAAATCGGGACTCATCTGGGTCCTGGAATTGTGTGCAGTCACCATGTCTGTTGTGTAACAAAATCACTGATATCTAGAATTTGAACCATAGAATTTACAACGCTATCCTCCCCACGAAATAATTTTGGATCTTTACATCGCCAAGTTCGTAATGATGTGGCCTCATTTAAAACATCTCTCACAGTAATTAGAGGATTGATTAGAAGTGACTTCATGATAAATATAAAGAACATTTGATATGAAATCACACGAACTGTAATCAAAATGAAGCTCATTTAGGACTCGTGTTTCGCACTGAACAACTTGGATTGTTAGATATTGGTAGTTGCGTCAGTCAGTAAATAGATGATTACGTATCATACTGCAATTAACCGATGATCGGATAGGGAAAGAGATCATATAACGTCTTTACTGTCATTAAAGCTTAATCAGACGGGACCTATTTCAACCCAAGAAAATAAATTTGTTATGTCTTTTCCTATATAACCAACAGATGTCCAGTGTTACATATCACCTCTGTCTTTTTAATCTCGGCCATTTTATTACACACCACTACACATTATCATTGTGCAGATATTTTATCAGAGGTTACAGTTAAATTGTGTTGTCGACTAGTGGAGTTCGAAGCTGGGTGAATTGATGTTATTGAATTACTGAAGGTACCAATTTGTAATAATACTATATATATATATAATTTCGCTTAAGGTTGTTGAGTTATCAGTCATAAAGTATTTGCTATCATAAATGTTATGTCCTATTACCTTTAGAATATCACGTGGAAAAATAGACAGTCGGAATACCGATTTCTATAACCTTGTCCCTGTGCTAAACCAGCACTCGCAGTCTTGTGTCAACCGTAGATTCTTATTGGTTATCTGTATAGCAACTTCTTACGTAGTGCGGACCGTTCAATCAAGAACACAAATGTCAGCCTCCACTACATGAATCGTATATTTCAAACATACATGGTTTATGTATCAGCAGACCAAACCACACTATTCCATAAGGTAAAAAGTAAAAATTATACAAGCCCAAGTCAAAAGTGTCTGTATGTATGGGATACTTTAACTAATAAATAAATTTACGATAAATCGTATAACAGTAACCAGTAAGTCAAATGAAAGCTTATGATAAAAGCAATACAAATATATGTATATTCTAGTTACTCTGTAATTATCCTATAAGAATGTATGTAGTAGTAGTCCATAAATAATTCTTAGCAGTTACCATTCATTAATCCTTCGCTCAGATGTAACAATTCATATTGTGATTTGTGCCAAATATAAACAAACTTTCCAATTTTAATGCTGAAAATGTAAATAAAAACCGACCAAACATCAGATGATCTTAATTCTTGACCTACTAGTTGAATGTACAAAAAACTGGGTTATTTTTGCGAACTTTATAAATCGAAATATATAAATTTATTCCCATGGATTATTTCATTCTCCAATTCTAACGTGCCTTTGGTTGATACAGATTCTGTTTATTTGTATATTTACTCAGTTTTGCTTATGAAGGTTGAAGATAAGGACGAGTTGTTGGTATTTCGATTGTAGACGTTTTTGACGTAATTACCAAGTGAGTAAATTTATGATTATTTATAAATAAATGGGTATAAGAGTCAAGTTGATGAGGTTATGAATCCTTATTGACTAATATAGTAGGGATATCCGTTACCCATGACTTTCTACCTCTCACTCCGGTATAATATGCTGATAAGTATATGTTGGAAGAAATAAACAGAGTTTCAAAGTTAAACATAACATAAATCCATCACTGACTCCTGGTCTGAATAGTGTAGAGAGGTTTGGACTTGAATAATTAGACCCAAATAGTGATTTTAATATGTATAATAAGAGATCGATGGAAATTAGCAGTGGAATTCAAGATGTGAGTTTTATCCTGCATTCACTGCTAATCACCATCCATCTCTGCTTAATGGCAATATCAGGGCAATCCACACAGGATTACATATGTTAAAAAATAGACTGATCAATTGCAGTCCTAAAAATCAATGGAGGATTCAAACGACTAGTACGAACCTTAATCTCTCACTAGACTTTGAGCAATATGATTGTAAATCAGTTGAAATGGTGTTAGTATATTTAGTTCCATCATACTAAGTTTAGTTATTTCAATGAAACTTAACATTCTCCACAGCTCCACACTAATAGTCATCATGTGCTCACCTGTGACTAGCTTCGAGAGGTAATTCTTGGAGTTCTAGTGAGAAGCCGTGATTAGTAGACTTCAACCGTGTTGAGTGTGAGTCAGTTGCCCACCGAAGACAATAGAAGACGGTCGCGCAATATCGTGGGTTGGTTGAAGTGAGATATTAACAACGTTGGATGCTGGTTCAGTAGTCCAGAGGTTAAGCGTATATGCACTAGTCCGTCTCATGGGGCCGTAGGTGCGCACTACCGAGGAAATTCATACTAGGTTGGAACGGTCATCCGTTGCCTCCAGGTTTTCAACAACGATATTCTGGCTTTCATTATTTTCTTGACACTGTGCTGTTTCGAATTGTCACGACATGTGTTGATTTAAAATTTAATAAAATTCTGTGTTTTTCATGACTGATTGATAAATTACCTTTGTCAAGATGAAGTTATTTTATGAAAATTATTTTAATCTGTTGGTGGTACTCGTCAAAAACTGGTTTCAGTTGGAGTATCATCACAAACTATAAAGCGCCAGTTACCCAGTCAGTACTGGTATGGAACTTCACGCACGATTCCCCCGTGGGACCAAAGAAAAAACCCTCAGGTCTAGTGGTTAGTGCCTAAACATTAAGTTTCAATAGTAGCCCAACTGATATCCGGTCATGATGAACACCATATACACTTTATTAATGTATTGGGTAGTCTGGTAAAGAATGACTGTTCCTTTGTGAAAATCGTTCAGATTACCTATTCAAAATAGTCATTCGGAAATTGTGATTATTTCTACGAACTGTCAAAAAATGACAACCATTTCAGCATACAGTAGAACATTGAAACGACAACACAAGACAGCAAACAATGAAGCATTGAAATGACATCACAAGACTTGGAAAAAAGCAGTAGAGAGAAACACAAAATCATAAATTGGGCTGCATTCATTTCAGTAAAAGTAGTTGCATAAAGTACAAAATGAAATTCTTTTGTTTCACTAATAAATTTATATAATTTATGACTTTTCATTATTAAGCGATAGTTGATATTATTCACTGTGAGATAGTTGTCGGAGGTAGTTGACAGGAAACCCTGGAACTAGGTTTCGTGCTATCTGACACTTATCAGCAAGGCGTACTTGTAATCTTGACGGAACTGATTCTCTCTGATGGATTCGATCCCATGTCACCTAGATTCACAGTCAAAGACGTTACCGCTGAGTTATCCGGGTTGTGACTGGCCTCCTGTAAGACTGAGATGTAATCACAATTGATCGATCACTGGGTGGTGACCAATGCCATGTGTGTCAGGTCCTTAATAATGAAGATCGAATCCTATCGACCAAGTTGTAATGTGGCCACTAGTCTAGGGGACTCAACATTGCGTGTACTATGTCATAAATTATTCTCTGTTCACTTCTGTCTACTGAATACTTTGTAACTATGATTACAACATTGATAATCAGAAATTAAAATAAACTCTTGAAATGACTTTATTTGTTTTCTACTAATATCCATGATCATTAACAACAACAATAATAACAATTACAATAGAGAAAATTGTTTACCGGCAAACGTTTCACTTTATTTCAAGTATTAAATTATGTATTGAATAATCAAACAGAAAGTAGGCCACTGTTTCCCACTCACTCACTCACTCACTCACTCACTCACTCACTTACTCACTTACTCACTCACTCACTCACACACCCGTCTATAGTAGAATATACAAACAGATGATACATTTCTTTTGACATGTACACATAATGATGAGGTATAAACGATTGATAAACAATGATTAGACAATTGTAAATCAAAGCATAAAACATAAGTCACTTCAATGTTCCATTACTTTCAAGTGAGAATAAAGGTGACACAAGAAATTTCTTGTAAATAATAGATAAAACTGTATAACAAATGCGTTTGCGTCAGTTTTCGTTCATGAAAATAGACAACTGAGGACACGAGTATTATCATTATTATTACAAAACTACGAAAGAAACAATGCAGAATTGAAATACTTTATGGTATATTACATCAGAATAATTAATTAGTAACTCTAAAGGTAGAATATGCAATGGTAGTAATAGTAGTTATAAGATCTGTTATATGATAATAGATAGTACCATATACTTGACTTTCTTACTTCTTCTAACCTGAAATGAATGAATGCTTTTTAACATTATTCTTAATCGTATATTCAAGTATTAGTTTGTATAAATGAAGAAGAAGATGAAATCATGTTTAATGATATATCTCTGTCTTGATCAAATCTATTCATTCTGTCGATAGGATCTGTGTAATTCGGATATCTATCAATATTCAAATCTAAATTTGATCCTTCTGCTAGCACTGGTAGTCGATCTCGTATAGATCCAGGTTTTTGTGATATAATCCTTCGTGTTGACCAATCTGTCCCGAAAGGTCTATTGTGTAAAGTTAATCCATTCTCAGGTTTATGGGCTGATTCATTACATTGATCTAAAGAGGATGATGGTCGATAACCGAACTGGATTGCGTTTCTTGAATGATCATGTAATTGTTGTGGATTCACTGGAATAAAAAGAAATACTTGTAAGACTTAAGTGGAAATATTCAAGATATTCAGAAATATTACCGCTGAAATATTGAAATGAACTTATCAATTTAATGTAATTCAGTAATCAAATATAAGGGGATGTTGAATCATATGTTTTATGAGTTTGTATTTGTGTATGGTTGGTATACTCAAAGCAAGATAAGTAGGAAGATAATAATTTAAATATCTATGTAGCTTTAAAATTGAAAATGAAACGGAGAATATGGAAGATAGTCTTTGTTAGTAAATTCATTGGTAAGCTGACAAATCATAAAACGAATACATCATATTACGTTTAAATAAGTCAGTATTCTTATAGTTGAATTTATGAGTCAATTGAAGCTAGACCACCATGGAAAACCTGGAAGCATTGGATGGCCGTTTAATCCTAGTATGGGACTCCACATCAGTGCGCATCCACGATCCCGCTCTGCGATTTTCGAACCCAGGACCTATCAGTCTCGCGCGCGAACACTTAACCTCTAAACCGCTGAGCTGGCATCAGTGCCAGCTACTACTAAAATCTCCACAAAACCCCATTCTGATAAGTCAGTATTCGTTGAAATGTGTGATTACGTTCTTTTTTTTTACTAATCCAAGATGTAGTTACCAGTTTAATAACCAGTTACGGTCATTGATGTAATAGAAAAGTAACCTAAGGAAAGAATGAAACCAACAGTTCATTGTTGTTATTGTAGATTATCAGGATATTTATGAAAAATTCTGCTGCGTTATTTCCTCACTTACTGAACCATTTAAATTACAAATGATCCATTTAAATATTCATTAAGTGGTTAACCTTATTATGACGTAATCTTTGATGTTTCTTATTTGAATGATTTATCATGGTGTTGAACTGTTTTAAGAAATCAAAATCTTAAACTTGGGCTCAAACCTTTTCTTCATATGGTAATATGTCCACAATATTGATTGAATTTATTTTCAACCTCTTACTTGCTTACTTACAAACGCCGGTTACCCCTCACCGAGGAGCATAGGTCACACACCAGCACTTTCCATCCAACCCCGTCCTGGGCAATCCTTTCCAGTTCTTTCCAGTTGCTATTCATCCTTTTCATATCGGATTCCATTTCGCGACATAACGTGTTCTTTGGACTTCCACTTTCCCACTTCCCTTCACAATTCCAAGTTAGGGCTTGCCTCATGATGCAGTTTGGTGATTTCTTCATTGTATGTCCTATCCAATTCCACCGTGTTTTCTTAATTTCCTTTTCTGCTGAAAGTGGGTTTGTCCTCTCCCACAGAATGGTGTTGCTGATGGTATCCGACCAATCGATGTCGAGTATCTTGCGTAGACAGCTATTTATAAATACTTGTACCCTCTTGATGATGGTTGTGGTAGTTCTCCAAGTTTCAGCTCCGTACAGTGGAACTAACTGTCTTGACGTTCGCACTGGAGATTTTCATTTGATATTGGTTAACAGACAGTTGTTTTGGGTTTCATATGTTCTTCAATTGTAATGATGCGGCCCATACTTTGCCAATCCTCACCTTTACATCTGCATCCGATCCTTCTTGTTCATTGATGATCCTTCGCAGGTATGTGAAAGATTCCACATCTTCCAGAGTTTCGCCATCAAGTGTGATTGCGTTAGTGTTCTCTGTGTTGTATTTGAAGATCTTGCCTTTACCGATTTGAGCTAGTTACTCACCAATGGTATTGGAAAATAGTTGTTTAATATCTTGAATTGATTGAATTTAAAACTGTAAATCATTGTAAGATATTTCAATAGTATAAAGGTTAAGAGTCTACAAGAGATCTATAAATTCTCAGTTTGATCCTCGATCGGACAAGGAATGTATACAATTGAAGAGATACGTACTAGGATGAAACAGTTGTACAATGTTTCATGATTTACACCATTTAAATAACATCAACACTATTGCGTATGCTATAAAAAAAACTGTTTAACAAACAAACAACTTATTTTTTTCAATAGTTGAGATCATGAGGCCATGGAAGCTAGATCACTATGGAAAACTTAAAAAGCACTGGATAACTGTTTCGTTCTATGTATGAGTTTCTGATTAGTGCTCATTGATATAAATGATGTAATACATATACATCATAGATGTAAATATGATCAACTTACCATGATTTGTTGCTAATGGAGATTTTAAATCAATCATGACATCATGAGTAAAATTTGGTGAACGATTCTCATAACAACCATTATTAGCTAAATGTGAAGTTGGCAATATATAACTATTACCAGTTTGTCCATAATAATTTTCTGGAATAGGAATATGTTCAATATTTTGATCTCTTTTATAATAATCATTAATTGAAATTGGCGCTGTATTCTCTTTTACTGTATTATATATTCTATTTTCATGATTTGAATGATTGACAGAATGAGAAGTTTTCTAAAGGATTCATTTAGAAATAATAAGAAGTATGATAAGTTATTAACATTGATTATTGATTAAGGTAGTGAATATAACATATTAGAGTTTATAGTATGGGGACGGTGCCTGAGTAGCTTTCCTATTGGATAATGCTAATGACCCCTCCCCTATGTTCGGATTGGATAACTATAATGATGATTTCGTTTCTACTAAAAAACTATAAATACCTGACAGTTTGTAGCATAATTGACACTGTTTGGAATAACATTCCTTTCATTTGTCTTTTGTTTTCTCATTTGTGACTTGGGAGGTTTCTAGCGTTTGGGTGTTCAAGTTCTATGCGGCATATTAAGAATCTAAGCTATAGATATAACACATAGATTAAAGATATCTGAGATAAAAACCCTTTTATTCTTTGTTTAAATGAAATGATTGACAGAAGTGAAAAGATCATTCGTTCATTTTTAACTCATTTCAAGACTATGAATCAAAGATTCTATATAAGAAATAAATAAAGATCTGAATTTTTTCATGAACGTGAATTATATGATCATAAATGAAAAAGTAAGATCCTTAAATACAACACAGAGAACACCAACCCAATCACATTTGATGGAGAAACTCTGGAAGATGTGGAAACGTTCACGTAACTGGCAAGCACCATTGATGAACAAGGTGAAAGTAAGGATCGATAAAGCAAGGGTGGCATTCCTACAATGGAATTCAAAACAGCTATCAACCAATATCAAAGTCACAATTCTCAATACGAATGTCAAGACAGCTAGTTCCACTATACGGAGCTGAAACTTAAAGAACTACCACAACCATCATCAAGAAGGTACAAGTATTTCTAAACAATTGTCCACACAAGATACTCAATGTCCGTTGGACGGATACCATCAGCAACGGCTTATAGTGAGAGAGAGAGAGCAAACCAAGTTCCAGCTGAATAGGAAATTAGGGAAAGACGTTGGAAGTGGATAGGACATATATTGCGAAAATTATCAAACTACTTGACGAGGCAAGTCCTAACTTAGAATCATGAAGGGAAGCAGAAAATATGGAGGCCGAATAACACACTACGTCGGGAAATAGGAGCAGGTATTAAAAGGATGAATAGCAACTGGAAAGAACTGGGAAGGATTGTCTGCGACAGTGTTGAATGGAGAGTGCTGGTGGGTGATCCATGCTCCTCCATGAGGGGTAACATGCGTAAGCAAGTAAGTAAGAATCATACGATTCAATGGTCCGCGGTCGGTCGTTTACAACTTCAGTTCAACGATCTTAAATATCTATCTCATTTAAACATATGAAGCTTCTAGGTTCAATCATTCGTCAATGTTTACTACTTAAGAAGAAGAAGAAATATTTTATTGGATATTTATAATTGATGGATACCAGTTAACTTTTTTATAGAATACTAGTTCTTACCGTTTGTGAATCATGTTTAAATAAAGATTTGTTTCGTCTTCTTAAGTGTCTTCGACTAAAAATAAAAGGATAATAAAAGGCATATAAATATATACGCATTGTATAATAAATATTGAAATATATTTAACATAAATTTTATACTTAACTTGGAATCCTGAAGGGAAAAGGAAAAGAGGAAGGCCAAAGGACACGTTACGTCGAGAAATAGAAGCAGATATGAAATGGATGAATAAGAACTGGAAGGAGCTGGAAAGGAATGCCCAGGACGGGGTTGGATGGAGAATGCTGGTGAGCGGCCTATGCTCCTTCACGAGGAGTAACAGGACTATGTAAGTAAGTAAGTATATTTCATACTGAAATGCTAGATAGCTGAATATAGACAAAAGAAAACTGTGGATCTAAGTTTTATGCTAGTTGACATTTCTCAGAGTGGAGTATCAGTAATCGTTAGAGAACTGAATGCTCTCTGCAAGAATCAAACACATATCATCCAGCGACATAATCTGAAATGTTATCACTGAGTTAATCAGTCTGTAGCTGACTTCTTGTAGAAGTGAAATAGTTACAACTAAGTGATCATTGAATAATCATTAAAATCATATCTATCCAATCTTTTAGAACGGATAATTGTTAACTTGTACGAAACATAATCTCACGGCTTTCTGTTGCCTACCTCTAGTCATCTAATATATCAATGCAATGGATATGATATCAAGTCAATTAGACCAATTACTACAATGAAACCTTATCGATAAAATTTCATTAGCATGTAATGGGCTAGACAAACATAATATTGGTCACTATTTAATCACCAATCAATTGTAATATTTTACATCGAATACACTATTTAAAAACAATCATCGTTATTATTGTCAAAGCAACTCAATTACTCTACAGTAAATGAACAAAATAGTATGATTTCAGTAGTTGAGATCATGAGTCAGTTGAAGCTAGACCACCATAGAAAACCTGAAAGCACTGGACCGCCGTTTCGTCCTACTGTGGGACTCTTTAGCAGTGCAGAGCATCCATGATTCCTCACGCAGGACATAAGTGTTGAATGATTAATGACACAAACAAGGAAGTATAATGATAAGTATTTCGGGCCTACTAATGTACTAATGTAGAAAGGCTGATATCACTTAAACCATTTATACAAGAATCTTTTATTACATCAGTGGCAATCATATTTAACATAGAGATACTTGATCAATGATTTGCACTATTAAAAACTAGATTAAGAATACTAATTCTCAATATATCATATATATATGATGTATTTGCACCGAAGCCATCCGCTTGACTCTATAAGATCGTAGATCTTGATTCACAACTATTCTTTCTCCACATTGACTTCAGCTCTTACATAACACCACTTTCAAATAATAGAAATATACTCAAGGGAGAATCACTTCACAGAATAAAGATTAACCTCATTGCTTGGTGTTGTTTTATTTGTATCTTCCCATTGTTAATTAGGACTGTAATATATCAGTCACATGTTGGCATATGTGCATTCTGTGAGAATTGCCTCGATATAGTCTTAAGTCACAAACTTCTAAAACAGAGATGGATAGTGGCTAACAGTAGAATCCAAGATATCAACTATGAGATACAGCTAAATCCGGCTGACGAGTCCCAAATAGGACGAAACTCGTATCCTGGATTCCACTGCTAACCACTATCCATCTTTGAATAACATCATTAGTTCTAAATTAACCATTACAATTAAAAAGATCAGAAAATGTATATCATTTGAAGTTGCACAAATAGTTTACATTATAACAATAAAATATAAACAACATACTGCATGCTTTTTTGTTGACATTTCCATATTCCATAAAATGTTAAAACACTCATTAATGCACCAAATAATGTGAAAAATACACCACGTAATGTAAGTGTTGTAGTTAATGCATGCAACATAGATTGTAGATCATTTCCACGAGATTCAGAAAAAGCTAATTCCAAATATAAAGAAGGGGGAGGGGGGAAATGATAGAAACAACAATATAAGTTTCACATGTATTTATAAATAGACAATATTGATATACACTAATCTATTCAAATGAATATATGAATTATAAGCAAAGATGGATAGTGGCTATCAGTGGAAACCAGGACGAAACGCGCGTCCTGGATTCCACTGCTAGCCACTATCCATCTTTGCTTATAATGCTTGTGAATTAAGGCAATATCGAGGCATACGCACAGTATACACATATGCCAATAAGAGACTGATCAATTTCAGTCCTAAAACATCAATGGGAAGATTCAAGTAAAACAATATCAAGTGAATTAAATATACGAATTGAATAGAATAGTAACTTAATTTTGCAGTGTTCATGCCACTTAATGAAATGGTTAAACTACTTGGAAAGAGCTATAAACTTTCTTCTAATATTACATGAATATAGTTCTGTAATCTCAACAGAAAAACATGAATGACTCAGTTCGTATACTTATTCAACAGATCGTATGTATACTTTGTGTAATTTCGATTGATTTTTGTTCTTTGAGTTGAATGGTTTGATCATGGAGCTTTGATCGTTCTTCTAAACGATGTACTGATGATGTCCTTCAGAAGAACAATGAAAGCTCCATGACCAAACCATCCAGCTCAAAGAACAAAACTCCATCAAAACCAACCACCTAAGCTACAAATCTTCTCCACTTTGTACAATTAATGTTACCAAACTAACTATCATAACACATCAAAACACATACTCATTCACATTGAAACAATGTACACATATCAACTAAGTACACATTAAAAATGAATGATTTTTATAAAGATGATAAAATGATAGTGAAAGTGTTATGTAACAACAAAGTAAACTATTTCAGATTATAAATGATATCACTATAGCGTACTAGACTAAATTCTGTAATAATTATAACAGATTGTTAAGAATGGATGTATGAAATGATTTGTTGAATACATCTTATGCTATACAGTGATTACTACTATATTACATGAATTTGCCTAGCAAATAATATAGTATTATATTATAAAGTGATATAACCTACTGAGTTTTTTGCACAAATTAATGTAGGTTACATGATAGTTCGATCGTAGAAACAATAATTTAAAAAGTCACCACATTTTGATGGAGTTTTGTTCTCTAAGCTGGAACTTTCATCGTTTTTCTGAACAACATTATCAGTACAAACTTCAGGTAGAAATGAACTGTCAACAATAACCAATCAAGATCGAGCTCTAAAGAACGAACTGTGAGCCATATGAGGTGAAGTTCAAACACTTCACTTCTAGCTGAAGGTTGTGTTGATGATATCTTTCAGAAAAATGATGAAAGCTCCACGACCAAACCATCCAGCTCAGAGAATGAAACTCGATTGAAATCATTCACTTGTGCTTTAAATCTTCTCCACCATTTCAGATTAACGCACTGACAAGTAGTATTTTTTTTATAAGTTGAATTTATGAGTCGATTTAAGCTAGACCACCATGAAAAACCTGAAAGCAGTGGATGACCGTTTCATCATAGTATGGGACTCCTCAGTAGTAAGCGTCCATGATTTCGCAAGAGGGACTAGAACTCAGAACCTTAACCTCTAGACCACTAAACCGGTATCTAATAGTGTTAATGTCTAGCTTCAACCAATCCACTATATCGAGCGGCCGTCCACCATTGTCTTCAGTGAGTAACTACCTCTACAACAGACACGGTTGAACTCCACTGGTCACCGATTCTCACTAGAACTCCAGGAAATACTTCATGAAGCTAGTCCCTAGTGAACAGATGATGATATTGATCAAAATGGGGTTTTGTGGAGATTGTAGTAATTTTTACTAGTTGAAATCATGAGTCGGTTCAAGTTGGACAACCATTAAATCCTATTCTGATAAGAAATAACATTATTTTACTGTAATCATATCAGAACGCGATATTGATATTAACTGACGAACTCATAGTTATGTCGATTGAGATTTTACAGTCACCCTAGGTAGAAGATACATTTCATTATTATGTATTCAACTATAATTTAAATTGAGTAATGCTTCTTAAACAATCGTTTTCATTTGATGAAAACGTTTTGTGAATTGATACTGCATTAATATGTAATAAACAATGTACAAATTGAGACTGACATGAGCTAATCAATCATCAAGATAAACCAGAATGTCGGGTTAAAACTATCGAGACGAATAAATAAAAGGGGTTGGAATAATAATCATAAATATTAAACATTGAGGATATGTTACGAGAAGGGATGGAAAGGTGTGTATGAAAGAATACTAAAACTCAATATATATAGGAAGATAAAGAGTAATTACGTCTGCTTTATCGTGAACGATTTCGCACTTACTAACATAACTCACTCAAGCAATTAATGATTTCACGGCCTGTTACAACCTTGGACCACCATTAAGAGACCAGGTAGGTGGTGGATTGGTCCTTGTAAAACATGTTCCAACTACCTAGAGTGAAGAAGATCCAGAATCTCATCGACAAACGTTCCACATTCCCTTAGTAACGTTCTTTGATGTTAGTGCTTTCCACTTATTTATCCCCATATGCATGAGGAGTGCTCCTAAGCTATTTATGATTAAAAAGCTGCAAGTCATATTTCAAAGTTATGGATTAATATAGAGATAACTGTTGTGCAGTATAATCTTCCTTTGATTAGCAGATGGACACTTCCCGTACGCCATATATGACGCAAGTTGATATATAAGAATAATTGGTGAGTTAAGACTTCTCAATGACATATAGTCTCTTTTTGATTTGGAGTGAACAAGCTATAAGCCTAAATGAAGACAAACTAAGCTAGTTTAGGCTGTATGTATGTTCTTCGAACGATCTAGTCTTCAGCAATACATGTAAAATCCCAGATATCTAACTCATCACATAGCTGAAGTCAATCCAAAACCTTCACACAATTCCGTATCATCGCTAAACCTGTTTGATTAGGGCAGACCTTTTCACAAATAGATAGTGGGTAAGTTAATATGAAAATTCACACTGAATGTAAAACAAGTCGTGATTGTGATACCAACTTTTGTAACGAAGATACTATCTTTAAAATGAAATCCTAAAGAAGGTGCCGGTTTGTAAAAGACAAGATTATTGGCATCTGATTGAGAAACATTTTAATATAACATATTTAACATCCCAGATAATGCGTGAAATTTGGGTGAAGCTACAAATAAGTGTTTTAGTTAAATGATAGTATTCAGATTAAGAAATTTATGTTAAAAAGATATACTACTTAATAACTCAAAGTAACATAAATACAACATCAAAATATATTTCGAACAACATCAACTAAGCGATGTATTTCAAGGGCCATAAGTTTAAAGAAAAAGATCAATCCATGCAAATATGAGTAGATTATACAATCCCACCTACCAAATAATTATTAATATAGTCCCTAATAATATTATTGAAAGCACAAATAAGGCGCCAAATAACACTAACAATTTTGTTCGTTGAGATAAAGTAACTTCTAAAACTGAAATAAAGCTGAAATTCAGTCAAAATATCAACAACAGAATAATTCAAATCATTACACATCATATTCAAACCAATAAAATATACACCAGTAGGCGGAATTATAAAAACGTGGTCCCTGGTTTCTGGATCGTGTTCACAAAATTAATTTAGTTTACATACTAATTTCCAAACATTCATTTACGTAATTTAATAGTTGAATTCATGAGTCAATTAAAGCTAGACCACCATGAAAAACTTGGATGCACTGGACGGCCGTTTCATCCTAGTATAGGACTCCTCATCAGTGCATGTCCATGACTCCACCACACGAGATTCTAACCCAGGAACTATCAGTCTCACACTCAAGCGATTAACCAGTGCATCCAGGTCTAGTTTCAATTGACTCATGAATTCAACTATTAAATTACTATAGAATCCACAAAAACCCTTCTCTGATTAATTTATGTACTGGATAAATTGTTACGAATAAAATTTCAATTATTCAATCACTTCTATTTAATGGACATTGAACCGATTTAGAACCAGACTTCATTTCTTGAAAATAAATATTGATATTGTTAGCGGGACATAGATTAGATTAAATCATGTTCAATGCACGCTTGCGTTGGCGCACGCTGATGGGATAAGAATTAGTTTGTTGTAATTAACAAATTGAACGAATAGGTATACAAATCATTTGTATCTATGATCTTCTCCTTCTGTCCTAGACAAGGACATATAGACTCAGACCTTGAGTAGAATTACAATTAGGTTTATCTGATAACATTTCTCGTTTATAATCTTTCATCTACTATTAGGCTTTTAGATGGGAATGTGAGAACAGAAATATAATACGCTTGGACTTCCCCAGTTTATCAACTTTAAAGCCATTGAATAAGAATCATACATGTGGTTTAGGGTCATTATATTAGTCCATTTCTAGTGTGATAATAACCTATAACTTTGTATTTCATATAAAATTCAACAAGACTAATGACTATAATTGACTGAGTAATTACTGGCATCATATTTGCCACATCCTTTAGTGTTGTTCGAATTCTACCAATCAAATTACAGTCTGATCACTGGTCTAAGGGACTTAAGATTGAGTAAACTATTTTGAGATATTCGTTGACTAGAGGTAATTGACAGAAAACTTTGGACTTATGCTTCATACTAGTTAATACTCGTCAGCAGGCCATACCTTTGATCTTGAAGGAAATTGGTGTTCCCTGATGAATTCGAACCAATATCATATAGTTTCATAGTTTAAGACATTAAGATGAAGCCACTCTATATAGCATACTGACGAACATAAGGTAACACGAAACCATCTAACAAAGTGACAGCTTTTCATTTATCCATATGAACTGCACTGTGAAGCGATGTTTAAGACAAAGAATCACTGGAAGTCTATTTTGTCATAATATGGACCTCCTCGTCTCTATGAAAAACTGAACCCAGGGTATTCATGTCTATCGATCAGAGCTTTAGAGATCATACACATATTGATAAACAAAAGAAAGACTCATGTTCAATAATATAACAATATGCATTACAAAGTCACCTTAAATGTTCTCAACTACAAATTTTTATAATTTTGAATAGTTCCTTTACATCAGGAAGGGAGTTTTGTAGAGATTGTAGTAATTGTTAATAGTTGAATTAAAGATAGACCACAATGGAAAACCCTGAAGCACTAAATGTCTATTTCATCCTAGTATGGAACTCTTCAACACTGTACATTCACGATCATGCCCACCGGATTCGAACCCAGAACTTTCGGTTTCGGACTAGCTTCAAGAAGTATTTCTTGAAGTTCTATTGCAAAGCCATGACTAGTGAAGTCAAACTGTGTCTGTTATGATACAGTAATTCACTGAAGACAATATTGGACAATAGTATCATTTTGTGGATTAGTTAAAGTTAAACATGAACATAACATTAATGTCATTAAAATTTATACAAAATGGTAATCATGATTGGGGAAAGAAAAAACTTATAAATTGATCCATTCAAACAATGAAATACATTGAAAACATACATTTATATTCATTTAAATCAACTGCCACACGTTCACATTTTGAACCAAAATATGGTGTATAGCAACTAAAGTTTTATGATCATTGTTAAGGGATAATTTCAATTTTTGTGTATGTGTATGTGTGTGTGTGTGTGTTGTTTCAATGGTTAATTAAATAGTGTAACACAATGATCATTTAATTAATATAAATATGTATATGAGGGGATCAGGGTGGGAAGGGAATTTTAAATATGGATTGAGATTTACATATTTTAGTGTATAAGAAAAATGAAAACAAAAGAAAATCAATTAATCACTAAGTATAAAAGAAAAAGCTAATGTTGGATGATAAATAAAAAATATGATTGGTGAAATTAGAATTTATGGATGAACCAATCAGATTTGAGATAATGGATTTGGGATTTTAGCGCCAAATTCATTTAATTCATTTGATTAAATACCATTTTAGCATGTCAGTTCGCGATGAGAAATCATAAATCTTGAGATTAGATGGTGGTTGGAGGTAGTCGACTGGAAACCCTGGACCCGGGTTTCGTACTATTTGGTACTCGTCAGTAAGGTGTACCTGTAATCTTGAGGGAACTGGTGCTCCCTGACGGATTTGATCCCGTGTCACTCAGCTTCATAGTCAGATAGCTCAGTGGTAAAGTCTCTGACTCATTGCAACATGATCGATAGCATTCGATCTGCACTAATAAGGACTAGACAAGCATGACATTAATCACCACCCAGTGATCAATCAATTGTGATTACATCTCAGTCTCACAGGCAGTTAGTCACTGCTCGGATAGCTTAGTGGTAACGTCTCTGACTGTGAAGCTGGGTGACACGAGATCGAATCCGCCAGGGAGCATCAGTTCCCTCAAGATTACAGGTACACCTTGCTGACGAGTGCCAAGTAGCACGAAACCCGGGTCCAGGGTTTCCTGTCGACTACCTCCAACCACCATCTAATGTCAATATATAGTGCCCGCACTATCGAGTCACCTAGACTGGTGGCCACATTGCAACATGATCGATAGCATTCGATCTGCACTAATAAGGACTGGACACGCATGACATTGATCGCTACCCAGTGATCAATTAATTGTGAAATCATAAATCTAATTCTTAAACTTAACATTCAACTGTAAATTATAATCCTAGTTCGTTACGCTAATGCAATCACTTTATTAAATAGTTGAATATTTCCAAGATCATTTTAGTGTTACTCAAAGGTTATCCATAAATTATAGTCTCACCAAATAATCTTTTTGTTAATAGTAGTTAGTTAGATAGTTAGGAACTATGATTCAGTATGGATTACTATTATTCCGATTATAATAGGTGTTTAGGAACGTGTTAGATAAAGCTAGAAGAAGAAGAAGCGGTAACAACAATTTGTTAGGATAAACACTATTACTTACCATATAGTCCATCGGCATGAAAATGACATCGATCACCGAAATAATAATCGAGACACCTTTATTTTTTTGAAAATTTGTTTTGTTTTTAAAATAACATTCAATAGTTAGAATACAAAACGATTGAGTAGATTTTGTTTTGATTGTTTTATTGTTCAAAGTGTGCTACCTTTCATTTATTTACCAGTAAAGTTAAGTTATTGATTGATATCATGAACCGATTAACGTGAGACCATCATTGAAAACCTCGACGGCCATTTTTATTTCTATTGTGGGACCCCTCATCAATGCACACTCACGATCCCGAGGGAGGGTTTCGAACCCAAGGCATTCAGTCCCGCGCAAGAACGCTCAATCTCTACACCACTAAGCCGGTATCCAGCGGTGTTAATGTCTCATCTTGACCAGTCCACAAAATTGCACAGATACCTGTCTCTACCTGACACGGATTAGCTTCACTGGTCACGCCTTCTTACTAGGACTCCGACAATTCCCTCACGAAGCTAGTCACTAGTGAGCACATTTAATTACTTTATTTAGTTAATTGTCCAATCTAGTGCGAATGTATATCAATCTAAGCTGTTATATTCCACATTAATGGAATGAAGGAAAAAATGAACAATGTGGAAAGCATTGTGTTATGTTTCCAGGAAAGCGTTATGAACGGTTTCATGTGTATAGGTGGATATCAGTAGAGTCAGTGATGTAACGTAAAAATGATACATTAACCGTGGAATTTTAAGACAATAAAATTATTTGATTGATATCATGAATCGATTGATGTTTGACCACCATTGAAAACTCAGAAGCATTGGACAGCCGTTTCGTCCTATTGTGGGACTCCTCAGCAGTTCACAACCTCATATTGAAAATTATTTGAAACTTAAACTTATTGATCTGTATGCAGTATGTGTCTAGTGAACGATGAATGGTAATAGTCTGTAATTAAAATCTTTCATGATCGTATAAAGATTATACACAACTGTTAATTGTTATTAGTAAGATTGTAGTGAACGAGAACACATAAGTGGTGACAATCGAATATATTCGAATACAACATTACAGAATCTCTTAGTAAAATCCAAGAACCCTACAACAAATACTTCAGTTGCAAAATATCTACCAATCGTTTCAGACTTCATTGTTATTTCGCTTATACACCAATTATTCTCTGCTCTTTGATTTTCTTAACCTTCTGCCGTTAGGTATTTCACTTTCAGTTGATGATACATACTACTTATATCTGTCGACATGAGTAGTGTATACTACAACATGAATAAAAACTTAGTTCAGTTAGAGATTACCCTAACTTTTTACATTAACAAGAAACATATATATAGGTAGATATTTTCATCATTTCGTATAACTCCAACTCTTACTTCACAGACTATCTAATCTTATTAGTAAGTTTACTTTCTCAAACTCATATCAACTTTAAACTTTGAATATGACTATCAAAACTATGAATACACTATTGTGACTAAAAGAATTACAATTTTAGAATCATAATGATGCTACAGTTAATATACATCAATAAAAAGAATGAAGGAAACGACGCTTACCTGCATTGAAATGATACTCTTTCATTTTTATACATATAACATAGACCACCATTGAGACAGTATTCTTTATCTTCATCTGAACAAGGTATTAATTCATCAACTGAATAAAGTAAAGGAAACAATTGTATGATATATGCATGAAATCATTACTTAATCAATATCAATGTATTCTGTTTGTTTAAACTCGGAATCCTGAAGGGAAGCGGAAAAGTGGAAGGCCAAAGAACATATTATGTCGGGAAATAGAAGTAGATATGAAAAGGATGAATAACAACTGGAAAGAGCCGGAAAGGATTGCCCATGGCAGGGTTGGATGGAGAATGCTGGTTAGTGGCCTATGCTCATTCACGAGGAGTAACAGGTGTAAGTAAGTAAGTAAGTAAACTTAGTATTAATGATTGAACTTTACCGATCAACTTGTATTGTGTTAACTGGTTTATATAAGTCAGAATCTCGATAACAATCATTCGAATTATCGTATAGTATTAGATATTCATAGCTAACATATACCAAATAGAATGTATTCTACATCCAGGACTTCCTTGTCAACTGTTTTAAACTGCCCCATCTCTATCATATAACTTATCTAAGTTTCTGCAAGATTATCCAATCAGTTTTTTGTAAATGAAATTACAACAACCGTTTATCCCTAAACTTATATTCTTAGATTTTATTTAGTTTTTCTCATCATTTAAGCATCTACATGAGTACTTCTGAACAAAGGATATAATAGTTTAGTTAGTAAAGGAACCTGTAGTGCTTCATCTCACTTGTATGTGTTATTCTTTAAATACTGATAAACTATACTACTACTTACTACTTACACCTGTTACTCCTAATGGAACATAGGCCGCCGAACACCATTCTCCAACCCGCTCTCTCCTGGGCCTTCCTTTCTAATTCCATCTAATTTTTGTTCATTTTTCTCATGTCTATCTCCATTTCCCGGTGTAGTGTGTTCTTTGGTCTTCCTCTCCTACTTTGGCCTTGAGGATTCCATGTGAGGGCTTGTCTTGTGACGCAGTTGGGTGCTTTACTCAAAGTGTGTCCTATCCATTTCCAGCGCTTCTTCCTGATTTCCTCCTGCACTGGGATCCGGTTTGTTCTCCCCCACAATAGGTTGTTGCTGATAGTGTCTGGTCAACCGATCCGAAGTATTCTGTGTAGACAACTGTTAATAAACACTTGTATCTTCTGGATGATGGTTTTCGTAGTTCTCCAGGTTTCTGCCCCATACAGCAAAACTGTCCTGACATTTGTATCGAAAATTCTGACTTTGGTGTTGGTTGACAGTTGTTTTGAGTTCCAGATGTTCTTCAATTGTATGTATGCTGCTCTTGCTTTTCTGACCCACGTCTTCACATCTTCATCAGATCCACCGTGTTCATCAATGATGCTGCCCACATATTTAAAGGTATTTACATCCCCCAAAGATTCTCCGCCAAGTGTGGTTTGATTGGTGCATGTTGTATCTTATCGGAGTATCTTCCTTTTCCATTTGTGTATGTTGGAACCTACTGCTGCTCAGGCTGTTGCCACACTGGTCGTCTTCTCGTGCATTTGTTGTTGCATGTGCGATAGAACAGCCAGATCATCTACGAAGTCTAGATCTTTCAACTGCATCCTAGATGTCCACTGTATCCCGTGTTTTCCTTCAGATGTTGACGTCTTCATGATCCAATCGGTCACAAGGAGAAAGAGAAAGGGTGAAAGTAACCAACCTTGCTTAACACCGGTCTTCACTTTGAACGACTTTGTCAACTGTCCTCCATGCACGATTTTGCAGTGTAATCCATCATAGGAATTCTGTATGATATTGACTATCTTCTGAGGCACGCCGTAGTGTCGAAGAAGCTTCCATTAAATGCTTTTTCGTAGTCAATGAAGTTTATGTAGAGTGATGAATTCCATTCAATTGATTGTTCCACAATGATCCGTAGAGTTGCGATTTGGTCTGTACACGATCGATCCTGCCTGTTGGTCTCGAAGTTGGGCGCCTACACAGTCCTTCATTCTGTTTAACAATACCCTGTTGAACACGTTTCCTAGTATTGAGAGAAGAGTGATGCCTCTGTAGTTATCACAGTTGCCTTCTTTGGTATTTTGATCAGAAGTCCTTCTTTCCAGTCTGTTGGTACTTGTTCCTCATCCCAAATCTTATTGAAGAGAATGTGGAGTACCCTTGCAGTTACCGCTACATCTGCTTTCAGTGCCTCTGCTGGGATGTTTTCTGATCCTGCTGCTTTGCCACTCTTGATTTGCCTGACGGCCATGATGATAAACTATGGAAAATCATTAAAGGTCAATATTACTGGACAGATTTTATGCTTTACTTGTAGCTCTTCAGCAATGAGAACACAAAACTCAACCAAAGGTAGAACTAATCGCTTTCTTGTCTGGCAGTAACTACCTTAAACTTTTAGGATTTAGTTTTTTTTAATGGTATTATAGCGAACGAGAGCATAAGTGTGGACAACCAAATGTATTAAAATACAAATTTAAAGAATCACTTTGTAAAATCTGAGAACCATACAATAAATACTTCGTTTGCAAAATGTCAAATAATTGTCTCAGATTTGACTGATTCTTCTTTTCCATACCAATCACACTCTGTTCTCATTCTATTCTCTTCGATCGTTTTAACCTTATGCCACCAGGTATTGCACTTTTAATTGATGATACATACTACTTTTATCTATTAACATCAGTAGTACACACCACAGTATTTTCATTTACTCAAATGGTTGTATTCCTAATGAAGTTAGTCAGACTATTGAATTAACATTCATATTTGAAGTACAGAAATTGACTAAACCTATGTCTGTCCAATTCGATTCCATTTCATTCTTCAAATTAATCTATCATTCACACTGCGGATTCATTATTTATAGGATGTCAAGTGCAAATAATAATCATATTCTCAGTTGTTATGACGATCGTATTATTTATTAATAAAATGGATAATCACGAATGTAACACAAGCTACGTTAATGAGTCTTTAACAGATTTTCTAAAATTAATGATCGAGTACCGGGTTTAAAAGGCTTGTGAGCAGACAACAATACTTAGCTACTTACTCACTCATGTCTGTTACTTCTCATGAAGGAGAATAGGTCACCCACCAGTCATTCTCCATTCAACTCTGTCCTAGACAATCTTTTCCAGTTGCTATTCATCCTTTTCATATCTGATTCCATTCCCCGACATAGTGTGTTCTTCGACTGTCCTCTTTTTCGTTCCCCTTCAAGATTCCAAGTTAGTGCCTGTCTTGTGATGCGGTTTGATGATTTCCGTAATGTATGTCCTATCCACTTCCAACGAATTTTCCTAATTTCCTATTCAAATGGAAGTTGATTTGTTCTATCTCACTCTGGGCTATTACTGACGGTATCCGTCCAACGGACAATAAATATATTATGTAGACAATTGTTTAGAAATATTTGTACACTTTTGATGATCATTGGGGTAGTTCTTTAAGTTTCAGCTCCGTACAGTGAAGATAACTGTCTTGACATTCTTATTGAAAATTGTGACTTTGATATAAGTTGAAAAACAGCTGTTTTGAGTTCGATATATTCCTCAACTGTTGGAATGCTGTCCTCACTTTGCCAATTTTCGCCTTTACGTTCGCATCAAATCCTCCTTATTCATCGATGAAGCTATTCAGTTACGTGAATGTTTCCACCTAATCCAGAGTTTCTTTATCAAATATGATTGAGTTGATGTTCTCAAATAGAGAACAATGTTTTATGTTCATTGTTATATGATTTAATGTCCATTATAAGTTTCATATTTATCTCAACTAACCCTAGGGCTAGTAACAGTTGTTTATCTCTCTATTACTCTTAATGGTGATTAAATTCTATCTATCAATGTAATCTACTTTATCTAATTGAAAACAGATTGGGCATATAGATGTTAATAAAATGTATCAAAGCATTATGAATACAACCTGTTTACATACATTTGTAGTTATGACATGATATTCACTTACCCATTAATTTTTCGTCTGTTCTATTATTTTGTTGAACTGGAAAATAAAACAGGAAAAAAAAGAAGAACTGACAGTTTAAATGTTATCGTTTACAAGATAACAACAACTTTGTCAATTGTTGTTGTGAAATATATATTCAAGGTGATAGTTGGAAATAGTTGATAGAGATCTCGACTATTTGGTACCCATCATCAAGGTATACCTGTTATCTTGAGGAACTATAGTGGTCCTTAGAGATTTCATTCACTTAATGCTCGGCTTGATAGTTTAAGACGTTACCACTGAGCTATTCAGGTTACGATTGATATCCTATGGGACTGAGATAAATTTATAATCCATTGACTATTGAGTATTATCCATTGTCATGTTTGATCAAATTCTGGAGATCAAGTTGATCACTAGTTTGAGTAGGTTGAAATCAAGTGTCATAACTTGTGATGAGAATTCAATGTGAATTTGATCGAAACTAGAAAAAAATGATTTGGGATACGTGATATTGGTCATTAATCAGTTGTAATTATATTCAAGATGTTTGTCAGGCAAGAACAGATGGCATTGTAAGATGAAGTGAAGTTATTCAATCTTTTTGTGTTTTCTCTAAATCTTACACAAACATCATATTGCTCTGTAAAACTGTAATTTTTATGCGTGACTTGTATCAAGTCATTTAGTTCACGAGTAAAAAGTCCTGGGTTCGAATACCATGAGGCGGAATTATGGATGCGCACTGCTAAGGAGCCCTATAATAGGACGAAACAGCTGTCCAGTGTTTACAGGTTTTACATGGTGGTCTAGTTTCAATTAACTCATGATCTTAACTACTAAAATTACTATAATATCCACAAAAACCCCTTCCTATAATAATTCTAAATGCTTTCCATAGTCATACTGTAGTGAACGAGGACATAAGTGGGAGCAACCAAATATACAAAATCTCTTAATAAAATCTGAGAACCATACAATAAATACTTCATTTGCAAAATGTCAATCGGTTGTCTCAAACCTGACTGTTCCGTTCGCAAATGTCAATCAATCGTCTCAAATTTCATTGTTCTTTTGGTTCCATACTAATCATTTTTTGTTCTCGTTCTCTTTATTCAGTCTTCTTGACATTTTGCCGCCACTTTCAATTGATGATACATACTATTTATATCTGTCAACATCAGTAGTATACACCATAATACAACTTTAATGAATAGATTGACAGATTAAATGCAAGATTGATCATGATGTAATCGAGTAGAACTAAGGTGCACTAATTGACATGATTACACTAGACGAATTAACGAAGGGGATATTAGTTGCCAGAATAATAACAGTGGAATATTTATAATTGTAGAGAGAATGATACTTATGATGAATGAGAAAATGATTGAAATAGTATCTTGAAATGAAGTGTTTACCAAAACCAGATATTGAAACAAAGTTATGTAATTATCGTCTGAAAAGTGTTGAGCTGAAAACAATTGTCTATTTGTTAGCTATTAAGAAGAGAATAATCAAAAGTTATAAAAATGACTAATAATCCCCACAACCCTATATTGATAATTACCATGTGCTCACTAGCGACTAGATTCGTGAGGGAATTCTCGGAGTTCTAGTGAGAAGGCGTGACAAGTCAAGCTAATCCGTGTCGGGTAAAGACAGGTATCTACCTCAGTACAGTGGAAGATGGTCGCACAATTTCGTAGTTTGGTTAAGGTAAGACATTAACACCTCTGGATGCAGCTTATTAGTGTAGAGGTTGAGCGTTCGCGCGCGAGGCTCAATGCCCTGGGTTCGAATCCCGCGAGCGAGATCGTGGATGCCCACTATCAAGGAGGAGCCCCACAATAGGACGAGACGTCTGCCCAGTGTTTCCAGGTTTTCATGGATGGTATAACATCAATTGGTTCATGATCTCAATAAGAAAAATAGCTAACTAATAGTTACGAAAACAAATAAGAAATAGTATAAGTATAATATTTTTTCACAAAGACCATAGATTATGGAATATAGAAAGGAACGTTGAGATCATAGACTAGAATAAGGGACTGAACACACTGTTTTTGTATACAAAATTTAGGCTTAAACTTGTGGGTAACAATATCCTCTGCTGTAACTAAGTTTTTGACTTGAATTGCTTTTGAACCGTCTCTTCTGATTGTATGTGTGATTTTAAGGGGACATTCAGTTAAGCGAAATGCTCCAAGATTTAATTCGTGACTGACATCTATAATCCTTTAGAAACCAGCCAGGTTAATATTCGGAGTTGGGTTACAAAAGAGCTAACTTTGTAGGCAAGTATTACGCGTTTCACATTAGCAAGTGGACTGATAGATACATATTCATTTGACCCAAAGTAGGAGCTTATCCTTCAAAAAACTACAAATCATATGCGGACTAGAAAAGAGTTCAGCTGAATGGAATTTTTCGCTCAAACATCTAGAAAGTCTGTTTTACAGATTTTCTGTTTCAATATCTTCCTCGAACTTTATAAGCTATAAATGTGATTGTATAGATTAAGTAAATGAGATCGTCAAAATGAAAATGTTTTCAATGAATCACCTTCATTGTGAGATTGAGTTAGATAATATCCTCTCTGTTCTTCCAATGTACGTGATACGAAACATATAGGTAACAAAATATAATTGATTGAAGGTAGCTAGAAGAGATTTGTTACCCAAGTCAGCCTTTTATTCCATACACAATTATCAAAGCGATAGAAAGAAAATAAAACTCAATCCTAACCCTAAATAGACGCCTATTTTGAGCTCTTGAATCATGGAAGTTTGACAGATACTTTCTTTTTGAAGGCTAAAAGTTGTTAATAAATCTCATTTATCGACATAAAGTTTTTGTTCATTAACTCTATGGGATAACTATTACTGAGTAACTTACCTTCGAACACTTTCCAACTCGTTAATAAAAGAATCCTTGCAATATAGTCTAGTCACCATCGAGAACAGTACATTAACAAGGTTTATTTCATAAGAGATTGGACAAAAGCTATTAAAGTTTAAATATTGATTTATCCATGAATTATTAAGGTAGCTGGAGTGTGAAATCGAAAGGATTGTGAACAAAATAAAACGAAAAACATACAGCTGATAAACACATTCCAAGTGAGGAACGGAGTCAGATAAACCTGCTTACTCTCTCTCCCATCCATTTTCTTCTGGTGGTCGACTGGATTATAAAGAACTCGACAACTGAGAGGAAACACGGAATACAATAGACGGCTGGAAATAAATTAGAAGATTTGGACTACACAGATGAACTGGCCCTTCTATCCTATACATGTCAACAAATGCAGATGAAGGCAACTAGTGTTGCAGCAATCTTTGAATCAGTAGGCCTCAACATACACAAGGGAAAAAGCAAGATCCTCAAATGCAACACTAGATCGCCAATCCAATCCCACATGTTAGAGAAACTCTAGAAGAGGTTAAAATATTCACGTAACTAAATAGCTTCATCGATGAATAAGGAGGATTTGATACGGACGTAAAGGCGAGGATTGGCAAAGTGAGGACAGCATTCCAACAGTTGAAGAATATATCGAACTCAAAACAACTGTCTTCCAACCAATATCAAAGTCACAATTTTCAATAAGAATGTCAAGACAGTTATCTTCACTGTACGGAGCTGAAACATGAAGAACCACCACAATCATCATCAAGAAGGTACAAATATTTCTAAACAATTGTCTACACAATATATTGAATGTCCGTTGGACAGATACCATCAGCAACGGCCTACAGTGAGAGAAAACAAATCAACTTCCATTTGAATAGGAAATTAGGAAAAGACGTTGGAAGTGGATAGTACGTACATTACGGAAATCATCGAACTGCATTACGAGGCAGGCACTAACTTGGAATCGTGGAGGGGAATGGAAGAGAGAAAAACCGTGGAAAACACTGTGTCGAGAGTTGGAAACAAAGATCAAAAGAATGAGTAGCAACTGGTAACAACTTGAAATAATTGCCCACGATAAGGTTGGATGAAGAATGTTGGTAAGCGACTTATGCTCCTCTATGAGGATTAACAGGCGTGAGTAAGGTAAGCATTAAATATCATAGGACTCGACATTATATCTCAGAACATCTATTAAATCACTACTCATATAAAATTGTACATACAACTACATACTTAATATCTTATACACGTATTTCCTTTTTATTGACTTGATGAGAACAAGTAAAGTGATTTTGGCAAAGTAACATGAATTCACTATACATTTCGAACAATCTGGTCACACATATACTTGTCAGGGCATTTTTATATGAAAATTAATAAAGGTCAATTAAATGAAAGTTCAAGTAAAATAACAAAGGGGTAGAGAAAGAATAAGAAATTTTCGCGTTATCCTAGGCCATAGAATGACTTAAGGATTACCAAGGTAAATTCAAGGTTACGACAAATTGTCTTTGTACACATAAGGGGAGTTTGAATTTACGAATAGCCAAGGCTTCAATAAACCTGGGAATTCTTCCTTGACAATTTCTATACAACGTTTTAAAAGCTGTATTAATGTCAATTTAGTGCTCTGTTTCAATTAGATGTTTCGTTATCGATGAACATGGTTTTCTAACTCTCATGTTGATCGGACCATTTGACACTCATTGGTTTTGAAGCCATCTAGGCACATGTTCAATGACCCTTGATTGCATTTTTCGACTACTCCTCCCAATGTATGTGTCCACACAAACATGCAAATACATTACATTTTTCAGATCGACTCAGTTTTCTCATTGTTTTATCGAAATTTATAAAAGGGACTAATTGCTTTAACATGAACTCATTTTATATTTTGTTGAGCTGCTTATTCCAAAGTTCAAATGGTTCAAATGGTTGTGGACGGAATAGAAGAAGCTTTCGCTTAACAGGCTTCCGTGTCTAGTAGCAGGGGATCACTAGATCCTCCAGGCAGGAACCTAGGTATGTTAACAATAAAAGAGGAAAAGAAATTGGTAAATCATAGTGTGATGCTGTCCTTGGTTCTTAAGAATAGGTCAAGTTGCCTCTTGAAGGACTCCTGAGAAGTCACTTGA